GACAAGACACACTAAACTAGAAAGTAAAGCTAGTTGACTAACGTCTATAGAAGACAAGACACACTAAACTAGAAAGTAAAGCTATTTGACTAACGTCTATAGAAGACAAGACACACTAAACTGGAAAGTAAAGCTAGTTGACTAACATTTATAGAAAGACAAGACACACTAAACTGGAAAGTAGGGCTAGTTGACTAACGTCTATTTAACTTATAATGATGCGAAATATTAAATATTTTCCGGACGTTACATTAGCTTTCCTGGTATTACTGTGATCCGTGACGTTAGCTTGTTCATGTTTTCTTGGTATTACTGTGATACGTGACGTTAGCTTGTTCATGTTTTCTTGGTATTACTGTGATACGTGATGTTATCTTGTTGATGTTTTCTTGGTATTACTGTGATACGTGACGTTAGCTTGTTGATGTTTTCCTTGTGTTACTGCGATCCGTGACGTTAGCTTGTTGATGTTTTCCTGGTATTACTGTGATCCGTGACGTTAGCTTGTTCATGTTTTCTTGGTATTACTGTGATACGTGATGTTAGCTTGTTGATGTTTTCTTGGTATTAGTGTGATCCCTGACGTTAGCTTGTTGATGTTTTCCTGGTATTACTGTGATACGTGACGTTAGCTTGTTGATGTTTTCCTGGTATTGCTGTGATCCCTGACGTTAGCTTGTTGATGTTTTTCTTGTGTTACTGTGATCCGTGACGTTAGCTTGTTGATGTTTACCTGGTATTACTGTGATCCCCGACGTTAGCTTGTTGATGTTTTCCTGGTATTACTGTGATACGTGACGTTAGCTTGTTGATGTTTTCCTGGTATTGCTGTGATCCCTGACGTTAGCTTGTTGATGTTTTCCTTGTGTTACTGTGATACGTGACGTTAGCTTGTTGATGTTTTCCTTGTGTTACTGTGATACGTGACGTTAGCTTGTTGATGTTTTCCTGGTATTACTGTGATACGTGACGTTAGCTTGTTGATGTTTTCCTGGTATTACTGTGATCCCTTAAATTAGCTTGTTGATGTTTTCTTGGTATTAAGGAAAACATCAACAAGCTAATGTAACGTATCACAGTAATACCAGGAAACATCAACAAGCTAACGTCACGGATCACAGGATATTACTGTGATACGTGACGTTAGCTTGTTGATGTTTTCGTGGTATTACTGTGATCCGTGACGTTAGCTTGTTGATGTTTTCCTGGTGTTACTGTGATTCGTGACGTTAGCTTGTTGATGTTTTCCTGGTATTGCTGTGATACGTGACGTTAGCTTGTTGATGTTTTCCTGGTATTACTGTGATCCGTGACGTTAGCTTGTTGATGTTTTCCTGGTATTGCTGTGATACGTGACGTTAGCTTGTTGATGTTTTCTTGGTATTACTGTGATACGTGACGTTAGCTTGATGTTTTCCTGGTATTGCTGTGATACGTGACGTTAGCTTGTTGATGTTTTCCTGGTATTA